TAGCTCAAATGTACAACATACGTCTGTGAATACACTCCATATACTTTGCAGGAAGTTTTCACTGCGCATTGCACTAAACGACGATCCGCTGTTCAAATGTCACCTTTTGGGTCAATCAACAAAGAATGAGACTTCAGCGGAGCGGCGAGCGAAGAGATGGCGCAAAATTCTCATCCACTTCCCTGATTGAAAGAATTTTCAGTCCAAGAAAAAATTACTTCACTCATTGTGCATCGCTTAGCTGGATTTTGTTCCCAACATTTGTTCATTAGGCGATACATATCGTCTGGACAATTCTGTGGCTTTTTGAGTCTTTCTCCACATGAAATCTGAAATTATCGAATGGTCGGCACAACACGCACATTCAAGCAGATTACTGCTGACGACGAAAAATAGTTGTTCTTTGGCTGTACGGGCATCCAATTGTTTATTTATAATATCAAAACGAAGTTTTGTTCATGAAAAGGACACGGAACAATGCAAACAAATAAAGTTTCTTGATTGACAGTTGATATGCTTCTGATAAGGCAAATAACCTCTTTCGAGGACAGCCTATACATGCAGACTGAGTCGCAGTTTAGTTTTGCAGCATAGTTCACGTTTTTTATTCCAGTTATCGGAAAAAAACACGAATGAAACTGCTTAATACAATCATCAGTCTTGCGAGCATTCGAACGCTACTTATCGAAGGGATTATTCTTCGGTGTGTAAAGCAACGAAATGAATATCGATAATAAACCGATAATCCGCATCGAAAACGTGAAAAGTGCTTCAGTCAACAGTAAAAAGTTTCGATCGAAAAGTTTGATCATCGATAAGAGCATTAGCAATGATTTATATGTACAAGTCGATCAAACAACACCAAAATCATATACTCTTCATAGCGAACTGCACAAAAATAGCTGCGAGGACATCTCGATCAAATGGTGTTTATGTTTTGTGAGCGTTGCTGTGTGCAGTTGGTTTGAAGTGATAATAGCATAATGTGATCATTTTCACGATCGAATGCCTCTGTGATTTTCGATGCTTGAACTGACCAAACATGTGAAGAAATTTCCCAAAATATCATTTCTTCAGCTCACAGTGGAGTGATTAAATGAGAGAATTACTCCGAAAAGTGAAAATAAAGAAACCGAAATAATGTCACGTACTGTACCATTTTCTTAACCTCAAGGCACGTCATACCAGCGTACGGCTCTGCTGCGTCCGAGAATATTTCCCACAAGAGAATACTGAATGAAAAGACATCGGTTTTGGAGGTGTACTGGAATGCAACCATACTTTCAGGTGCCGTCCACTTGAGTGGTATTCTCTTACGACCACCTCGTTTCATCTCATAAAGTGGTCCCGATCTCGACATTCCAAAGTCGCTGATTTTGGCCTGCAACAATGAAGATATATCACCATAAACGATTCTCTAGGTGTTTCAGTTCACAACTTCATCGAATGAACACATGTTCAGCAATGACTACTCATCGCTAATCAAGTTCCACACTCAACACAAACCAAGTCATTCTAAAATAAAAGTCATTCAAAGAGTCATTGTACCATTTTGCGTCAGCTTTGACCAAATGCAGTGTTCATCACTGGAAAAGCATTCAAAAACGAACTATTTTTGTCTCTGTGTATAAAACGTTTCTTGACGCGATATCTCGATGTATGCATTGCTGTGAATGAAGATATTCAATTCCTCTCGCTGCACCAAGCGACATATTATCGACTTTTTCTTCTTCGGGAATTTGGCCTTTTTTTCGATCCAAAAGGTCGAATAATGAGCCGCCGTTCACCTTCAATCATTCAGTGTGAAAAAATATCCCTGATTATAGTTGGCCTGCTAAAAATCAAAATAAAGATCGATGAATGGTTTGTGATTGAATTTTAGACCATTCGAAATTGAAGGAATACATCTGTGATCACAATTTGCTGCTATCGTATTCATTCAATGGACTGCGATAAACAAAGAAGGAGTGGATCAGTGGAGAAATAGAGCAGATAAGTGATTGAATCTTTAAAAACTGAATTAAAACAGTTTGCAAATGAATGAAAGACAAGATGGAGAGAAACCTTTTCAAGAAGAATCATCAGAGGTTCATGGCACACAGCAACGCCGTACATTCTAACCACATTAACATGTCTGAAATTGCGCATTAAACGCGCCTCGTGCATCATTTCCTTAATTTTTTCTTTCGCTTTTTCCAGCTGTTTCTTGTCTTTTATTTCTTTCGCCTTCAATTTCACGCAATCAGCTCAATGTGGTCAGACTCAAAGCGATAAATCGCTAATTTTCGCCTTGTTCAGTTCTAAAAAAGTTTTTATTGTAGCATGCAAAACATACGATTTTAACTGCAACGTCAACTTTCTTGCCACCTATATCCAACACACCACTTCGAACTTCTCCAAACTGACCCTCACCAAGTAAGTCTTTCAGAGTCACATCAGTGTGTAAAAATTCCCAATTTTGTCGTTTAACAGCGCGGATCAATGACGATGTTTTAAACTGTAAATGAGAACGACGGCACTAAATTCGTTCTATGTTCACATAATCAGCAAACTGTTATCAAGTTGTTAAGTAGAACTGTATGTTTGTTTGATTCTCTAATATTATGGGTGAGTCAGGCACTCCG